ATTTAAAAAAAGGACAATTAGAGTTCTCAGGAATATCTATTGCCAGTAAAATAACAGAATTTTAAAAATGGGGAAAAAATCACTAACCACCTAGAGATCAGAAAACAAGCATCAGCACTAGGGATTTCTAAAGAACAAATTGTGATGGAGAAAATTGATTGCTTTTAAAAATAGAATTACAAAATTAGTGGATGAAGGGAACATGATGGATTTGATACATTCGGATTTTAGTAAAGATTTGATAAATCCTACTCAAAATTAATGCAAATGGGTTTGGCTACACCACTAGATGGAAAGAAAAATTGGCTGGAGACCCACAAATAAAGGATAATGATGCATAAAAAGGTATTGTGTTGGAGGGAGAGGTCTCCCAGGGATCAGCAGTCAGTTCTGTCCTATTTAACACCTCTTAACATGACACCTTCTGCCTGGAAATCAAGAAATTTTGTTAAGAGAGTGAAATATGGAAGGACCTGTGCGATAGACCACCTGATAATAAAATTGGATCCCAGCAAAAATACAAGTATTGTACAAACTACAGTATAGTCAGGAGGAGGTCCCTAGAGAACACCAGATGAGAATCACTGCAGCAGGAACCAATGAGATGGGAATTTGCAGTGTAGGACAGCAGAAAAACAACAGGAGAGTTTGAGCAGTACAGCTACAATTCACCCCAATACGGAATGACCAGAAGACTTTTTGCAGTATCTGTCTCCCACATATGTTTTCAGTAAGGTTCCAAGCAGGTTTTGATGGTATAGCGGGTAGGGGAGCTCCTGCAGTCTCTCTTGTCACATGCTGGAGACAAAACTGCTATTAAGAGATTCTTCTCCCCAGAAACAACCAGTGCAGACACTCACAGTGAAGTTAGCCTGATTTGGGAGGAGGGCTTTAAATAGATCCTCATTCATTTTTTAAAAAATGTAAAACCAGGAAAGGAAATGGCAGTAAAGCAAATTAAATGCATTAACAGCAGACATAAATCCCCATTTTCCTAATGTTTTCCCATTCTCTATCACTCACTCTGTCCATTTGCAATTTCAGCTATTAACCATCTAATCTCAGCCTCCATCCACAGGTGTACATGGGTGTCCCAATGACTTTTGCACCTCTAGGCCAGTTTCAGACAACTTCCAGAGTGCAGGTAATACATTTCTGTACATTTTGTTACGCTAATGGGATGACCAAAAAAAAAAATCCAATGATTGCCCTTAATGAAGTGTGAGCACATCCTATGGGAGGCATCTAGAGAATCCACACGATGCGGTCTTGAGAGACACATTCACAAGGAACACCATGCTTCCCTTTCTAGTTCCACTGCTCATGAAACTTCTGCTTTTCTCTGATCTCCTTGCTGAAACCCATTACCTATTCCTATTTGCTCCCCTTGTGTTTCTTTCATAATTTTTCTCCTTAAATTGCATTTGTAACCATCTGACTCCTTTGGTCCTTTGCATTTGCCCCAGCCTCCTGCTCAGGCCTTGTTGTCTTCCAAACCGTGCTTTGTCATCTCTCTTGGTCTCTTGTCCTCTAAGAACCCTATTTTTAAATTCTTCTCACTTACCTGTATTTTTCTTTCAGTCTTCCATATCACTCCATTTTCACAGTCATCTCCCACCAAAAAAACTTGCTGATAATATTTTGATACTTGCTAGTGAAACTCCTGTAAACCTTACCCAGATGCATTACACAAATGGGGTACAGTAATATTTACTGTAGCAAGTTCCTCCGTTTTCAAACTATTGAAGTGAATGAGAGAAATCATCTCTCTTTTGCTAGAGCAAATAGTTTTAAGCTCCCTAGAGAGCTGCAGTGATCATTTTAATAATGTTCTCTGTTAACACAGGATCAGACCCCCAGAGCATCAGAGCAAGAGTAAGGTTTTCCATGTGGCAGAATTAGGAAAACTACATTTTTCCTGCCCTGGTCTGTTGACAAACATTTGGACTGGAGCAGCTGTGGAGTTACATGAAATCTGGAAAGTAGCACTTACACCCTCTCTGCATGAGTGTACAAGATCAAAATAGTGTTATACGTCAGTGAAGATATTATAACTATTACTAGGATCTCTGTAATGCTCATCACTCTCTCCTAAATGCATGTGTACACTGTGCACACTGTAGCAGTTAAAAGCACTATGAGAAACCTTCATTTTTAGTGTTCTGTTTTAAATTAATTAAATTAAATCTTTAACACTGCAAAAAGTTACTTAAAAAATTAAATTCATAGAATAGTTTTTCACAGGTCTTTAAAAAATATTAAAATGGCTGGTATTGCACTGTAATTTATTATTCTTTAAATTTCTAATGCCTGCCAGTTGTTTAGGCATTTGCATTTTTATTTATTTATTTACTTTTAAAACCACATCTATTTAATGAAACAACAAGGCAGACGGCAAGCACTGGAAGGGCCACTTGACTGTGGCTAAGAAGTTACAGGGTTTGAACTGTGATGGATAACCTCTAACAAGTCTCTTTACATCTTGATGTCTCCTTTTCTCCTCCCACTCTCTTACTGTTTCATCTGCTTATAACCTCTTGAGGACAGAGACCGCCTAATTTTGTGTTTCTGTGAATGACAGCACAATAAAGCTTTGATACTTGCTGAGGTCACCATGACTTAAATGACTAGTGTGGTGCATTTGATAACTCAAACTACTAAAGAGATGTCCTCCAAACACCACTCCAGCCCAGAGGCAAGGCACTGTACAATTAGTAAGCATTATGTGAATGCCAGGAGGTCTCAGTGAAGGCCAAAAGGAGCCGTTGCACCCTTTCCCTCCATCTGCATATTTTTCACCCATCTTCACAATGTTTTTGAGTGCTGCTAATCTGTATGAAGAATATTCTTCATCAGAATGTCCTCCTCACAAGGACATAAAACCAACTCACTCGATCCTTATCTATATGTGGAAGTCAGAAATTTGGCATGACATTATCAATACAGCAAGATGACAGGCCAGTAAAATAGAGGTGTAACAAGCAAGGACCCCAATACCTCCTCAGGCAAAGAAATGGAGATAAATTGGCAAAACCAGTCATGTGTCTTCTTGTAGACTTTTCTCCTGGCGTCTGCCTGTGATGTCCAGTCTCTTGAGGGAGGCTTGACATGGCAAGTGTCACCAACCCTTACTCAGGGAGGTCACTTGACTCCTGAGCTTCCAGAGCACAAAAACTGAAATGAGTGTAATGGTCTCTAGTTTTCTGTCATTGATTTGGGATTGCTCCTAAGACCAAAACTGAAGCATCTGGAAGGCAAGGTAAGTGGCCATGTGGTATAACAGGCAGTAGTTTTTCCTTTTCAGACACTAGGGTTACAGATCTGTTCTGCTGGGACACTTGAAAGCAGTGGAGACTGAGCATCCACAGGAGAGCCTCAGGTCAGGTGGAGTTCATAGATGTTTCTCTTTGCCTCTCTCTCTTCGTGAGGCAGCATAAAAGCTGCCAGCTCACTGGGATAAGGCAGGAGCAATAAACATTTTCTCCTTTCCTCTCTGTGTTTTAGTAAGAGGATTACATATCTCCTCCTTCTAGAATAAACCTCTTTGCAGGGAAGATACTTCTCAAGCCCTCTTTGGAGATCACTCTCCGCGTCAAGACTCCTAAGATTCAAGCCATCACAGCAGCCAGTAGGAAATGAACCCCAGCTAAAAGGGAAAGGCTTTTACAGCTCTGCAGGACTGCAGGGTAAGGACAGTGTATGTGCTGCCACAGCGGAAGGATCCTTGCTGGGTTCACAGCTATGGGAAACAGAAAAATAAGGAGACACAAGCACAGAGCAAAGTTCAAGCTCCATCCATGATGACAGGAGACCGCTGCTGGAGCCTTGGGAAGACACAGCTAACCCTCTTGCTGGAACAGCTTCACCACCGGGGACAAAGAATCCAAGAAACAAAAGAGGGAACTTCTTGTAACTTTAACCCTTGACCAAATATGACTGAAAACAGTTCCCAAGTTTGCGCAAGTGCATGCAATGAGTACATTGTTAAAACAGGGAAAGCAAATTAAAAGCTTTAAGACATAGTTTTATGTTTTACTATGTTTAATGCATAGACATTAATTAAGGACCTTTAGAATGACCACAACATCCAAATCAGACTTAATAGCTAATATATTGCATAACTTTGGAAACATCAACTAGCAATTACTGTGTTTGTTTACAAAACATCTATGCATTAAAATGAAAGTCTGTGTGACAAGTTAAGAAAACTACTCACTTCCACTGAGCCTCCTCATCACACACCGTTCTTGCCTTCTGCTGGGTCTATCTCAGCCACTGTGACTCTACAGACCTGCTATGGCTCCTGTTTTGTCTTCTGACTCTCTCTACTCTGTAGTAGGTCACTTTCTGCCATTACACTCTCTACTCTCACTGTAGTAGTTTTAGGCTAGTGGCATATAAGTGCACGGGGGTTTTTTCAACATTTCCTATGGCTCCTTTAGTCATCCTCTTCACCTACCTTAACCTGTGTGAATCATTTCAATGTTGCCTAGCTGCCTTTTGGAGCAAAAGAAACATCCTGATACGTACATACATCTTGCCACCTCAGACCTCCCATCAGCATAGAGAAGGATAGTCTGATTCACCTCCATGTCACCTCTCATCTTTCCAGCTTTCCCCTTCCTGGCCACACTGGGACCTCTGATGATCACAACAACTCACAGAAGATATATTCCTTGAGTCTCTCTGCTACCTACTTTCCAAGGGCAGCTGCTGACACACTGCCCTCTATATGAAGGGTAACTTGGGGAGAAGGGACTGCTGCAGCTTGACCTGCTGCTACTGCAGCACTATGCCCTTTCCCCCTCTCTGTTGACTATTTTAATGGTTCTTCTGTACTTTTGGATGGCATGGATGCGTCACAGGTAACCCCCTTTCCGCTGGTACACACATTTGTTTGCCTGCTTGCCCAGTGAGATGGCTGGGTTTTGGAAGCACCAGGTGCAGCTGCTGGGACTGCTGGTTGGAGAAACATTTGCCTCCTGAGCCCGTTAATTAGCACAGTAACGGTAACTGTGCTCCATTAGCCAACCCATGTGGTCAAGTCCCCTCCCCGTCCACCAACCTTGCCCTTAATGAGAGCTGGAAGGGGGACACTCACAAAACACTGCTTCAGAATAATATTCGGCTTTGTCCACGCCGGTAACAAGAGCTGACAGGATCACTACGTCCATTTCTCTTCTAATTAGCACACTTCCAGCTCGGCCTGAGCCAGCAGCCAGAGAAAAGCGATCGGACAACCGTACCGAATCACAAACACAAAGAGGCCCATTCCCCATAATTAGGTGAGACAATCCCTCAGTCTTTTCTCGGCTGGAGCTTGCCGGTAAGACTCTCGCTGTTTTGGTAAGTCCCAGCAACACAAGTTACACGTCTCCCCAGGACACTAATAAGCCCCTAATTGTCTTCCGCTTCACACGGCTCGTACCATAGGTCTGACTTGGGGGAATTCTTCTAACAAGCGGCAGCCAGCGCTCCCTGCGCCACAGACGGACAGGGAGCCGCCTCTCGGGCACCGGCAGGAGAAGGGGGACGGGGAGAAACAGCCAGAAAAGCAGTCCAGGCGCTGGGGCCCAGCTACGCGGCACGGGGCTGGTGGCTGGGCAGCAGCCACAAGGTGCTGGAGACATGGAACTTCTCCATCCTTACTCCATCTCCACTGTCTCCCTGCGTGGTGGAAACCCAAGTTCAACTCTTTGGTCTGCCTTCTCCTCTGTCATCTCCAGTGGTGGTCACAGGTACTCACGCTTCCATGGAGAAATGCACCATCAAAACCAAACATCTGACTGCACAGATTTGCCTTAGGTCTCTGCTAAGGCTTCCTGGGGACTCCCCTTGGAGAAATGCAGCACCTGACATACACTTTTCTCCAGTGAGGGAATGCCTCAGAGTTCAGGCTGGGAATGAGCACGTGTAAACAAGACCCTGTCAGTTCTCGTGGAAGGGAACACGTGCTGGGTCTCACAGGGCAGGTTTTTAAAGATGCCCACAAAAGGATTGAAAACATGAGTTGTGAGGGAGGTAGGAGATGCCAGCTCAAGCTCCCTTATCAAAACAAGGCAAAGGAAGGCATACTACCTCTGACTTTCAATCTGACACTTCCTTGAGAAACCATCATCAATCAAATACTTTTTAGCAAAACATTTGCCCTAATTTTTGATTACAAGTTCATATTGAGCAAAATATCACAGCTAATCCTGTTAAGGATAGCCGTGGCCTGCAGATCCCTTTGCCTCCCATGCATCTGATTACAAACTGATCCCTCCTGCAAATCAGGGCTCACCCTGATTCCTCCCACAAGGAACCCCTAGAGAAGCGATTTGTCCGCTGGTTTTACACATGCTGGTTGGCTTCAGTGTGCTAAAAAGGGGGAGAAACCCAAGACAGAGTGACAAGCTGATCCATGCAGAGTACAACAGGAAGACAGATGCCAGTGCTTTCCCTGAAAGGCAATTTGGGATTATATATGTATATGTGTGTGCGTATACATGTGTGTGTGTGTATATATATATATATAAAATAAATTAAAACTAGCCATAACTAATAAGTTACTTTAATACAGAGAGAGGAAAACAAACTGAAGGCCACAGAACCAGGCAGCCTGAGCATCTGTGTCCACTTGGATTGCTCTGATGGTCTCTTGTCCTTCATTCTCATGCAGCTGATGAGCTCTCTTCCTGCCTTTTCATACACAACTTGCTGCATTTTGGGCTATTGTAATAAGTGGAAGATGACAAGTTTCTGAAACTTCAGGATTAGCTTTAGAATTCTGTGATTATGAAGAAAGTGGTTATATGCGTGTGGTATTTTTGGAAGGGAAATCCTCCCTGGCATCTAAGTGCCTGCAAGCACAAAATTTAATTACCCTATATTATTACGCCTACTCATCAGCTATGGACCACAGAGCCAGCCTTTCAAGTGATACAGAACCAAGTCAAGTACTTTGTCCTCCCAGAGATGTGGTCAATAAATAAGGTGCAAGGTCATTCTTATTACCCATTTTTTCTACTAGCAATTAAGTAAGGGCTTTCAAGCTCAGTCCTCTTCCTTTTTTCTGTTCCTTACTGAGGTGTCTATAACAGAGACAGGCAGGGAGCGTTCTGGCTTCACTGGTCACTGATCTGTATTATAGGAATCAGCAGGCAGGCCAGAGGTCAACCATACAAACCCAACAAGAAAACGCCTATTCTGTACAACCATCAGCTGCCTGGAGTCAGTCATCCCCCTCAAAGGGACACCACAGAAAAGGTCAAGTCTAAAAATCGGCAGTTTCAGTGGAAGATGAAGTCAAAATGTGAAGAGATCCTGCCATGCTGAAAATCTAGCACAACCTTAATAAAACTGGCATTGTTGCACATTCTCTATGACGAATGCAGATTACATTCTATAGAAACTGGATCAGTCCATACTTCTCTGGCCACTTAACCTTTTAACTGTCTTTATGTGAATTTTATGACTGGCCACAATGATTGACTTTAGGATTTTGCATTTCAGATCCTCTTGAAAGAAACTCAAAGCACTGATGTAAGGATTGACTTGCAGAGTTAACATGTCTCTAGAATACCTTTGATTCCAAGAATACCAGTATTATATAAAAGCAAAAGAGTTCAGTCTTCTTTGATTCCTTTTCCTTGATCTTCTTTTTCTCTCTTTTTAATTTTTTTTTTCTCTTGTCTTGCCTTCTAAAATATCAAGGTCCATCTCTTATCAAGGCAATGCATATTTGGTATCACACATACAATACCTTTTGGACATATCTGGCACTCTGGCTGATGTATATACTGGGACATGCACATAAAAAACATGGTATTTGGTATTTCTGCAGTGGGAAGTTTTTGCTATACTGATTACAGAAATGTGTTTACAACATTTGCACTTATTCTTCTAATCATTTTCATTCAGCTCAGAGTTTGTTGGTCCATGGGAAGTTTCTGTCCAACTATAATTCTCTGGGCTGAAGACACAGAGATGACCATTCTACAGAGATAACTTCTACAAAAGTCTTTCAATGAATTATCATCTTCTAATAAAATCTGATTCTTAAAGAGTGTCAGTGGCATACAAAGATGGGGGTACAACACTAAAGAAGTGAGGATTATTTTCATGCTATATTAAGTTTGCTTGCTATGTTCAGATAGTTCAAAGATGTGACAGATTTCCCCATTACATTTACCCTTGTTGGGTGAGGTTCTTCCTTAGGAGAGTGTGGATGAGTAAAGGTGAGGATGCTTGAAATGCCTCTGTCAAGATCGTATCTCTGGTGTTTAGAATGACTGCTGGCTCTAGGAGGGTGTATGTATCAATGTGGATTTTCTGCAATAGTAATTTGCAAGTTGTCTTTTTCTTCTGATTGTGTATATCTAAAAATTTGTATTAGCTTAGAAGTATTACAAAAATGTTTATGAAATGTTATGGAACTTGTGGGAGCCCAGGAGTCCAGGATTTCAGACCACTTGACAAAAATGTAATTTACCTTTTTTACATACTGCATAGGCTGATGATGGAATTGCCAGGTGTCAATTCATCAGCATGGAGTTGCTGGCATCACTGTCATCATGATTTGGAAAAAGTGTTGTTTGCCCAGCACAAGTTACTGTGGGTGAAGAAGTGGACAAGTTTAGCTGCATACTCAGACTGCAAATCTAACTGATGATCCTGTTCTTAGAGATACTCAAAACAGGATTTAGCCCATGATGATGTGGGAGAAAACAGCAGAGTAACAAAATACAAGCTGTAATTAGGACTTACATGCTTCCACAGTATGCTTGCACTCTGAATACTCTGCAATTTTGATTATGCCAGCTCAGGCTGTAATAGAAGACAGACAATTGAACATTGTGAACACAAGAAAGGTGAACATAACCATGGAACCAAAAACATAACAGAACCTGAAAAATCATGAGTAGTGCATAGATAGCAAAGAAGAAAAAATCCAAACATCTGTGTGTGACAATAAAAGAAATCAAAGATTCAAAATGGAATTAATTATCAGGTAAGCAGGTTTAAAACAAGTAGTTACTTTACTCCCTTTCTTTTCATTTTTAACTTTTCTTTGTATAACTTAATGATGGAACTCATTGTCCAGGGGCACTTTTGAGGCCAGAACTACAGACAAATTAGGACTAAGACAAATTTATGGAGGGAAGGGTCTACTGTGGACCAGATTCAACTAAAACAGATTGCTGGATGCTGTGTAAATTACCCTAAAGCAAAATCACTGTGTAAGCCCTTTGTTTATATCCTTCCCTATCCTTCTACAACTGTTTATAAGCAAAGAGAAGATTACAGATAAGACAGGCTCGTGATTTGACTTGTAATAGCACCTTAAATTTTTACATAACATAAAAATCAGTAAAACAAACCAGAATAAGGTTCAAACATTACCTCCAAGCTGGATTAATCAGTTTTCACTAATCTGTCATTGCTAGATGACTTCTTGAGATAAATATGAGGCAATGTCGAGAACTGTGGGTTCTAGGACTGTTACAAAATGGTTAATTTCATAATGGCAAACCAGTGATTTAAATGGAGTATCATGTTTTTCAATTGCCAGTGCACATAGACTTTTATTTTAATAATTATTAACATAACAAACAAGAATTTTTTCTCAGTTGGATTAGACAGCAAATCATTTGATAGTCCAAGACTGAAGCAAATAGCCTTTATAAATGAATATATAATAACACTGGCATTTAAAAGGAACCAAATACATACTGAGTTTACTTCCATGAAACTCAGAGTAGCATTTAACATACCAATACATGAAAACACTTCATAAAGCAATGCATTAGCTTAATTAATATGACCAAATCTTGATTTTTTTTTTTACACTCTTCATTCCCATCATTTATCAAAATTTAATTTTTCTTTCAAAATACAGAAGGTTACCAGTAACAAGAAGTCACTCAGATTTCCTTGTATAGATATATAACTGCATGGATATCAGGAAGGATACCATTCAAGGAAAAAATGGGGTTCAAAAGGGTATGAAACCCCTTAGTACCATGTGGACACTGACAAATATTTATTTATTGATGGGAATGGAACATCCACAGGCCAAACCCTGAGGTGGTGGCACACAGATGAGTGAAGAAGAGCCTGAGGAAGAGTATTGCCTAGGTGGCCAAGCAAAAGCTTTTGCATCTCAGAGGGCTATTTTGGAAACCCAGACGAACTTCTGAGCTTTGCATTTGTGTATTATCAAACCACAAAGCAATACCAGACAGAAAAAAATTCTCTGGCTAACACACAAAAATATATATAAATATTGTCAATTAAAAAAAAAAAATCACTGACTCCTCTCTACAGATGACAAGTACAAAACCAAGAAATATCACAATTCTAAAGCATATGTTAATGGCTTCCCTGTAGAAGATAAGTACTGCATATGGTAGAAGGAGATTTTTCTTTCTTTTTATTTTTAAGAACATATGTATGTTACTAAAAACTACCTAAAGTTTGAAATTCCTTACAGCACATATCAGAAAATATACATATACTTCCATAACAGGCTTCCATATATTCTCCTTTCAGATCTCAATTAATGTGTTGGACCAACAAACCTCTATAAAATGCACAAATTCATATTGGTGATACAGATGAAGTATCTCATTATGTCATCCTAAATATATTATATGTATAGTATACAAACTTAAATTTGCATTCAAAATGTATTATAATTCAATGCTTAAAGATACATCAACATCAGTTTGAACCATCAGGTTTTTTTCTGTTTCTGAACTACCACTTTCAGCTTCTCATTCATTTGACTTAACTCTCATATTCTCAAGGGAAGGAGTTTCTGTTCAGCTCAGCCCTGCATAAATTGTGAAGCACAGGAATAACTCTGTTAACTTTAAAATCAGACTCCTGACATTCCTAAATATTCAGTATTTGTGCAGGTCTTTCCAGCATGTGGGATCTAACTACTTAAACTTAGTTAACAGGAGCTGTCCAAAATAAGCCCAGTTCTGACTGGCAATAACCAAGACCACAGACAGCAAACCAAAGGGTCATCAGCAATTTAGTAAAAACTCACAGAAGTCTATTTGATTTAAAAAATCTCTCTCTCTTTATTGCACATGCACCTGAAAAGAGTCTCCTCTCCCTGCAAACCCAGAAAAATGCAGGGCTCTAAGGACAGCCTATTACATGCACTATTTCCAAGTAATTTCTCTTCTCATATGTGACTACTGAGAAATGACAAATTTTGAAAAGCCTGCATGATAAAAATAACATTTCAAAATAGAGAAAAAACCCTGCTCTTCACCCAGTGTTTCCACATTATATTGTACCCTAAAAGAACATATTTACTAATGCTTAAAATGTTGTTTTCTAGGAAAAGGAAAGAGGATGAAACAAAAGAAATTATTCTCTTAAATAAAACAGTCTGAACATGCTCTTTACCTCTTCTAAGGGGTGAACACGTAAAAGTGCATGAACAGAAGGAAAAGGCATTAAACTGTAAGATGAATAAAGCCAAAAACAGTGTGCTGAAAGGGACCAGGTCACAGAAATTTGTCTTAAAAATTCTGTAGGAGAAGAACATTTTGAGGTGCTGGCCTATAAGTAATTAAAGATACCACAAAATGTTATTTCAGAAATGCTAAGAGTCTGTATAGGCAGACCATCCTTGCAATGTGGCTAAAAATCTTGTTGCCATTTCTCAGAGTGCTAACTGAAAATATTAGCACCTTTCAACTTTGTAACTCTTTCCAGTTTCTAGCTCCATAAGAAGCAGAGAATTGCAGTGGACTGACAAAGCTGTTTCTTTGTGTGCTGGGCAAAGCTTCTGTGAGAATATTTTCCTTCATGGCACAGTAACACGGCTTCCAGTGGTCTGTCAGTCTCAGTTTCACTAGAGAACCGTTCAGCCGGGAAATGAAGCTCCTGGCTTGGAGGTCTGCCTTGGAGTACCAGACATGCTTCTCTGAAGGCAGTGAGTAACTGGAATCTAATGCAGAGACTGCACTCGGCTTCTACACTAAAAGCATATGCTCCTGCTGAACCAGTATTGGTTAATCCACACCCCAAACTATGCTCAAACCCTTTAGCACAGAAGTCACACACAGGAAATCAATGCATCTGATACAAAAGACACACAAAAGGGTCAATGCCTCACGATGCACACCAGCCATCTGGTGTGTACTTCAAACAGGGGCTGCCCCTGAGAGCAGCTGAACAAAGACACTAGTTGTTCACTTGGAACAGCTGATTAAAACAGGTAACTGTGTCACAGCAGTCAGGTTGGACATTCTATGGTCAGATAAGTCCAAATTCCAACACAACCATCCGCAGTCCTTGTGACCTGTGTATGCCGTACGTTTTCCCCCATAAAGAGATGAGCTGTGGAAGCAAAAATAGATGTTTGCTTCTGAAGGTCTAGAGCAAGAGCTTTTTTCTTCTTAGAAGTTCTGGGCTTCATCTGTATCCGCAGTACATAAAATGACCTAGTTGGCGTATTTTCGTCCAAACACTAGATGCAGCAGCTACTTTTTGGGTTTCTCTAGGATGTTCAGGAATTTCCCTCGAGTCATTTCTCTAGCTGAAATCACAAGGGAGGAAAAATAAATAAATATTTTTTTAAAAGCCAAGAAATGTAAACAATTGTATAATTTACATATTTTAACCATAGGATAAGAAATTCAGTTAGATTTGTGCTTGTACCAAAAGTGAGTAAGGCTTATTTTATTCATCTATTTAAGTGGAAAATAAATAAAACTGCATTCCAGCTTGATTTCCTGATATTGTAGAAATGCATAGGCAGGGCCTGGAATCTTCTAAACTCGGCAATAATTCCCACAGGCTGTCTCATTACATACAATCTATGCTTTCTATTCCTACTGCATTATGCTCTCACAGCACCTCCTTTTCTCTGTACTATCCATCTCTGAATGGTGAAATCCACATCTCCATCACTCTGTCTCCATGCAATTGTTCCTGGATGCTATAATCTGTCAGAGATTATGGAACTCTCTCTTTCTCCATTTCAGGATTATTGGTCCCTGGATGCTATGATCTTCAACAGAAATTAGACAGCATTTTCTCTCTCTCAGCAGTGTCAGTCCCTGGATGCTGTAATATAATGGGGTTTATATTCCTTCAATGCAGTTCATCTGTGGATAGTGTAATAAAGTAAAGTTTATAGAGCTTTGGTCTTCTCTCTCACTCTGCATTGTCAGTCCTTCGATGTTTAATACAGCAAGGCAAGGTTTATATGTCTTTCACTCTTGGTACCATCAATCTCTGGTAGCTGTACTACAGCAGGGTTTACACAGCCACTTTTCTGCATGAGACATTTCTGACTTGAGAACTCACAAGATCACAAGCTGGCAGAGCAGTCCTAATACTATCCTTGTCTTGCAATAACAATACAGTGCACCAAAGACAACACCATTAGCAATTGAGTCTTGGAGAAAGACAATCTTCCCACTGGTGCCTCTACATTTCTTTTCAATAAAGGTATAAGCTTTGTGCTGGACTGACAGGCATCAAAACATGGAGGTTTTTATTCACAGGAATGACAAAAGAATGAATGTTCCCCAAACCAAGCCTAAAGATGGTCTGGAAGGAGATGAGAATTCATTTTCTGATTTATCCATTCAATTCCTGACCTCTCTACTGAGAGGAACAACAGAAATTACAATTAGCATAAAATCTAGAGGTGGGTTTGTTACTGATGTTGGGTTTTCTTTTGACATTTTTGATTATCTGTCAAAACAGAACTAAAATATAATAAAAATGTCCAGCTTAAAATACTCAATGTGCAGTCTAACATAAAAATATTTTGTAATTCTTTACATAAAAGTCAAAAATTGTGCCTTAAAGCCTTCTCTTTAAATTATTACATTCTAATTTGTCTACCCAAAATTTTATTCCAAGGTATTGTCATCAAAAAATTCCCTGTAAAACAAATAATGGTATGTCTGTATGTAAAAGTATGTAACCGGTCTGTTATACACTGATACTCATAGATTGCAAAGTCCACTGGCCTAAATGGAACATGCTTCAGACTGGCTGCAGATTCTAGCAGGTCACTGCACTCTTCACTTGGTTCATGTCTTCAGCTGCGAGTTGTATCACCTGGGATCCACTCCCAACACTGCTACTGATTCACAGCATGAACTACCACAAAAGTCCTCATCTGTACCTCTGCCCTCCCCACTTGTAAGATAACTTGTTTGTTTTAAGTGCTGACACAGGGATAGAAGGTGCTGCAGATGAGCAGAGTGAATTGTTATTTTGGCGGGAACTCAGTTGTTATGCAAAAAGAACGTGACTAAGTAAAACTGCAAGATTTTTAAAATTTCAGCTTGGAAAAAAATTCTCAGTACCAGTTCTCTGACACCTTCCTGCCTTGCACTATCAACAGTGCACGGTTTTAAAACACTCTTAGCGGAGAAAGCACAAAGCCGAACTGTAGTTGATAGAGTGGAAAGTTTTCCAGAGTGCAAGTCCCATATAGGAGATATACGAATGCATGACAATTCTGTTCCCCCAAAGAGGGCTGCACCCTATAAATCAGGCAGAGAGCATAGACTCCTTCTGTGCGCTGAGGGAAATTACTGTGGGTTGGAGGTTGCTCCAGAGCACGTGCCCGCCTGTTCACTTGTCATCGGAGATGTTAACATTTCTGATTAATTCACAGACCTCTCATTTTATTCTTCATTCCTTTATCCTTGCTATCCTGTTCTGCTGCAGCTTAAAGATTCTTACCGACCTGCTACAATAATCACCGCCCGCTCCCCCCCAACCTGGTGAAATTGTTTAGTGATGCCAACCCCGCTTTTAATTTGCAAGACATCAGACACAGAGGTAATTTATACCAACATCTGTTCATTTCTGACTTCTGAAACAAACTCGCACATGCTGCTACAAAATCCCATTAGGAGCAGGAGACAGCCTTCTGCTATTCTGTATTCCTCATCTCCTCAGACTCAGGCTTGCACCAGGGCTTTATTTTTAAAGATATGATGCCAAACTGAAAAAGAAAAAGGACCTTACATCTTTGTATATGTATGAAAATGGCCAGGAAATAACATCCTCATGTGACAAAAAAATCACAGCCAAACTAAGGGCAAGTTTTCACAAACATTAACAATCTTCTTTTCCCTGCTTCAGCTGTTTCCTTTATCTGCCCAAGAATCATAGTTCAATGTATTCCTGGTAAACACAGGCCAAATTTTTATTACATGGTACTACGTTGAAACATCTTGGCTATTCCTTCCCCTTTGTTTCTCTTTAGGCTGCACTGGAGTATGATTTGAGCTTGAATTTTGCACAGTAAAAGCCTCTAATATTAAATTGACTTTTCTGCTCAATATTGCTTCTGATAAATGAATTCTTAATAATGGGAATAAAAAATATAATTTCCAATGGGGTCTTATGGAGCTTGTTGGAGTGAGGGAAGAGCTTGTGAATGAAGAAACCATCATCCACATTCCAAATACGATTGCAGGCTAAGAGAGATGGTAAAACCAGTTTTAAGCAACTACCCAAGGGACCAGCAGAAGCCAGTTGAATAGTAGATAGAGGTGGATTTTTTAATTAAAAGGTTGGACAAAACTGTAGTGAAAACCTCAGAGATTTTTTCTTTACAACGATTGTTTAAACCACAGACTTCAAGGGAAGAGAGGGCTTGAGCACAGGTTTCCATTGCACCAGGAAACACACAGTACAGAGGCTGCGCAGCATGAAACAGAAACATGAATCTGCATGACAAGTCATGATTTACAACCTTGCCTACACTGTGTATCTACTACAATTGAAAAATCAACAATAAATAGATCGCAATAGCTTGGATACAAACAATCACACCTACTAGGGAGAAGGAAGACACTGAACTCCACAGAAAAAAACCACTTTAAGATATTATCAGCACTGGTTACAGTGGAAGTAGTGTTTGAATAGACTCTTTCAGATAAACATATTGAAAAATGGTATCAGGCTATTATAATTAATAGAGAATGCTGTACTGTAGGAATTAAGTTTGCTGCCTGGCAAGATCTGCCAAGCAGATCTCAAGAACAGGTGTAGGAAAGGCTGGGGCTGAAAGGAGGAGGAGACATTTCTACTTGATAGGGGAGCGGAATAAGGTTTAATATAATCTCCTCTTTAGAACTTCAATCCCTCAATCCCACATTTAGCCTTGTTGCCTTGGGCTCCTTTTTACTACAGTTGTCCCCAGGCTGCCTCTCTGCAGTAAATTTTGTAGTTGCTGGTTGAAAAGATTCAGTAGTATAGATTGATTTCCTACAAGTGAGGAGATGAGGGATTACCAAAAGCAGTCCTGGTTAACAAGATTGGGTGCAGAATCTCCTGCTAGAGCAGCCCACTCTGCCAATGCTTTGCATCCTTTCACTATGACATATGGGTTTCATTACACAAAGATTTTCCTGATTTTAACTTGGAGGCGATTACATTGGAAACTCAGAGCTATCTTTACATCTGTAGCAATTTAAAGGTTAAGTAACTTTTAATCAAATGACAAAGACTCATAATGTTTTTTCCTCAACTGAAAATGAAAACTGCTGTTCCGGATATTCCTTCCAGTGACAATTTAATTAGAAAAAAACACTGCACTGGAGATTGGGGTCCAGCCTGATTGCTCCCCATAAAAAGCCTTCTCACACATATGACAGAACAGGACATACTGTATCATAAGGTCTGGATAGCCAGGAAATAATGGAAGGATTTACTGCTGTAAAATCAGCAAGGAAAACAGTGATTTACACTTACATAAGCAACTTTCATCCAGGAGAATCCCTAAGCAACACACACACGTACAGACTTTTTAAACATAATATACACTTAAATGCAGAAGCACAACACACTTGGTGATAAATACAAACTGTATTTATCACACATTCATCATGAACATTATACCTCCACTGCTTACTACTTTTGGGCTTATCTAAAAATCTCCAAACAAAGCCTGCAGCATCTTCAAATTACAGATACTTTAAAATGAAGTCACTTGCTAAAGAAGCACTTCTCTGCCTCTCTCCCAGATGTACAGCTTATGGGACAAATTTGACTGTGATCCTCCTCTAACCTGAAAATACAGCCTTGTTAAAATCTAAAGGTCTTGCTACTAAAAAACCCCAGAAATACAATTAATGTTTTTAGCTCTAAAATGTCCTGTAATATCACATTTTGACTGCTACATTCTTGACTACAAAAAGGTTACTTTAAGCACTGTCATACTTTGTTGGCTTATTGGTTATTCCTCCCATTCAGCTGTATTTATGGTTACTAAAGAACTTGTTTTCCAACATGGCACAATTCCTTTTAATGTACGAATCATGAACTCTCAAACTACTGCTGTGTCTTAGGCCTACACAGGAAACAAAACTAAAAGGGTTGATTTCTGAAGAACTGTCCACGGAAATTACCACTTCAGGACATGAATTGCAGAGAGACAGCAGAACACTCCTCTGGTTTTTAACCTTCTGTCACAAGAATCTGTTGCATCAAAAATGATTTCTTACATGCTGAGATACAGTGTTAGGATAAGAAGACACAACCATTCTTCTTCTTAGTTGG